AAAGCCAAGTGCTAACTACCGGCAGAGGAGGGACTAGACTCCAGGATTCCTGGGTCTAAGTTCAAAGAGCTTGAAGAAGAAAAGACACTGGAAACAGCACCCTCCTGAGGACAACCCGCGGAAGAGCGCTCTCTCTTCAACACAGCTGCAGAACCGGATCTACCTCTCAGGAAGCTGGGCAGTGAGCTGAGGCCCGTGTGCGCAGTGCGACTGGCTCGGGGTGCCGTTAGCACGCTGAGCTGATTCTTTAGCTCTTCTGACCCTGGACTCTGCCAGCGTGCACGCAGCTGGCCCGGGGCTCTTCCCCACTTCACCTGACGGAACAGACAACTATGCAAGCGACATCAAGAATGAGAAGGTTTTGCTGGACTGACTTATACATCAAATGATGCCTTGAGTGACTTTTCCAAGTGACTTCATACTTCTAATACGGTAAAAATCGATTTTATCTGAAGGAACGCCGACATGCAGTCACCCTCCCGCACCTACAGTGGAATGGAGTCCGAGGCTCAGTACTCACACCTGAGGCCCTGCAGGACTCTGAACGGACTTATGAATCACTCAGGATTAAATTACATTCAGCAGAGACTATCTGGAGAGCTACTTATTCTTTCATTCTCAGGGTGCTGCCTCGTTAGACAATACGGTTAACTATGGCATTCATTTTCACCACACTGGATAACAAATACCTATCTTCAGAAGCCCAAACGGGAGGAAGCTGAAGAACTGCGTTTTCCTCCCAGAATCCACTCTGACTTTCATTTTCAAGTCCAACAAAACGCTATGGTTCGCTCAACCGCCTTATGTGTCCATGTAACAGATTATGTAGTTCTTTGAAGAACTCAGAAATGACTGATGTCATGGGATTTAACCTTTTACAAAACTACTGCTGCTTTTCCTAAAATTTTACCACCACCAGGGGGGGTTACTGAGCCACACAGGAGAAGTGACAGCAGTCACAATCCCCTACTTAAGTCAATCGACCACTGTCTCCACAACAATCGCACGAGACAGGTCTTCCAATTCCCACATTATGCACGTACAGAGAGGTTACACGTCCCGTCTAAATCACGCAAAGGA